GAGCCTCTACGAATGTTTTTCAACCTTTTTTCCATTACAGCGTCCTGTACCCCCAAAGTTCTTGGGCCTTCAGCGTCTATGTTCCAACATGAAACAACCCATGAAATGACATTGTAACCAGGATCTCACAACAGCGCCCACAATCCATACTCTAATGCTTCTGGGGTCATCTGTGATTCTACATTAGTCATGTGCCCAGTGGGCCAAGGCCTCTAGGGGTTATGGAAGTCATTTCAGGGTGACCCCTGCAGGGCTCTCTTCCCCTCTCAATTGCGTCCCAGGCTACTCATCCCTCCCCTGTCAGCCTCAGGACAAGGCAAATACAAGCTGGCTGCCTGGCCTACTATCTCAAGACCAGCCTGAATGTTGCAAATGACTCTGGGGATAGGTAAAACGAGAAACAGGTGGGGAGGGCGAAAGCGGAGCTGTTTGCCTTCTCCATCACAGGCTCAGTGCTCACATGCTGACAGGGCAAAGGAATGTTTCTGGTGCCTTTTGGGTCCACCGCTCTTGCTTGGCGGACCTAAAGGCAAGGCCCGCGACGGTTACCACCTGAGCCTCAAAAGCCCACGTTTCCAGTACCGAGCACACCAGCCCGTACTGTGCTTTTCTTCACAGCACTCAGCAGACATACGTTCAACTGGTCCTGTACCGTATGGTCTTCCTCTCATTATAACGTAACTACCACAGATGAGGGGTGTCTATTTTGTTCCGTGCTCTATTTTGAGAGCTGGAAATGGTTCCTGGCACTTGGTAGGTGCTCAATAAACATTTGTTGACTAAATCAATAAATACTTCAAACTGTCCTGGAACCAAACTGCCTTGCCTGCAAGCAGGACAAGCACCCGCTCTATGGAGAACAGGAATAATGTTAAGAGGCTACTTTGGAGAAGCCCCAGCTGATCACCAACACCAGCTGCACTTTAGCTCTTATCTGTCATCTTATCTTTGACCACCAGAGTCACAAGCATCCTGGCGAGGGGGTGAGGAGGAAGGGATAGAAAGAATGGCAACTAATAATATGTTTATTGGAGAAATGTTGGGAAGTTTGCCTTTTAGTCGAGGTTCTGGGGAAGCTGTAATTAACCCAAGAGGTTAACTGAAACTGAAAGGCTTTCAAATGAATGTTGCTGTCCTCTCTCCAGTGGAAATTCCCAAGAACAATTAACAAAGGACCATGAGCCAATTAACCATTAACACAAGTTCTGATGCCCCAGCACAAAGCTATTGGCAGCAAGAACTACACTTAACCGACCACTCTTCTAAAGGAATTTTCGAGGTTCTATTCTGAAGAGGAAATATATTATCTAACCTTGTACTGATCAAAATTACATATCTTGGGGCCCTCCAAATACCAGGGATTTGTCACCTAGGGAAAAGAGAAAAAAAAAACTGATAAAAAGGTTTCTCCCTCCCTAACAGCCATAATACATATACACACACACTCTCACTGTACTGTACAATTTATCAAGAACTATCAGGCGTTGCCTACCTTTTGCTGAATAGAACATATTGTTATGGTGGGGGTCACAAATGAAAGGCCTGCAGAGATGGAGGGCAGGCAGGTCACTGCAATGAGGCAGGCTAAGTGAATATAGACGGGGAACGGCCGAGGGGTAGTATATACCCTGCCCAAAGAGGCACTAAGCTCCAGCCCATGACTGCCACGTACGAACACAGGCCTGGGTTCTGGTCTGTTTCCATCATATCTTTGTATTTTTCGGGCAAAGCCAAAAACAAAAAAAATTTTTTTTTTTGAGACAAGATCCTGCTCTGTCAGCTGGGCTAGAGTGTAGTAGCATCGTCATAGTTCACTGCAACCTCAAACTCCTGGGCTCAAGCGAAGCGATCTTTCTGCCTCAGCTTCCCAAGTAGCTGGGAATACAGGCATACACCACTATGCCTAGCTAATTTTTCTATTTTTTGTAAAGACAGGGTCTCGCTATGTTGCTCAGGCTGGTTTCAAACTCCTGGCTTCAAGCAATCCTCCCGCCTTGGCTTCCCAAAGTGCTAGGATTACATGAGTAAGTCACCACACCGGGCCCAAACTTTTACAGAAAAAATTTCCAATTCTGGAAACTGTACAAGTCACACAAAGGCTGTGTGAGGCTTCCTGGGAGTGGTCAGTTTATCATGTCTGCATGCTTTCCACTGCAGCCTGGAATTCTCACCTGAAGAGTAATCAGGGAGCATTCTCACCTGGTGCAAGACCAGCTTTCCCTCACCTCTGTCTGCAGAGGTTTGGAGTCAGGACACTTTGCCAAGCCTCCAAGTGTCAGTGCAACCACCACACCCTTCCCACCTGCCCTCCACCACTTGGAGCTTCACTCTTAGACTACACGATGCTTATCACAAGAAGCCCCAGACTCCTGAGTTAACAATTAGCCCCACACAGCCTGTTGTGTCCCTATCTCCCCTCCCCCATCTCCTGGGCCCTGAATATTCTTGCCACCTTCTTACTCTAGCCAGAATCTGGCTCTCCCCTGAGGACATGCCTCCTGTGGCCCTTCCAAGTGAGGAGGTCTCCTTGCTCCATGGAGGTGCTTCGACTCTTCTCCCCTAGAAGCCCCCCAGCTGCGAATCTTCTGTCATCAGAGTAGATCATTCACTACCCCATCTTGTGCGTCACATGCTGACCCACGTCATCCATCCTCTCTTCTCTGTAATTTCCTCTCACACTGCTTGATCGTCATTCTTGGTGATTTCCATAGCCTGCCAGTTTCCCGACCTCTCCTGCGGTGAGGGTCCTGTCCGCCCCTCCCTCTCGTGGTCACCCCTAGACCTTGTCTCAGTAACTGCAACCTCTTCCGAATCTCAACTTCATGCATCTCATGCCCACCGTATCCTATTCTAGGTCATTCTCTCCAGAACCTCAACTCCAACAATCTGTTGGCGCCACCACCTTTCCACAGCCCTCAGCCCCCTCACGTCTTCACACTGATTAAATTCCTTGAACAACTATTGTAATCACTCCCTCACACATTCTCTAGTGCTTCCCCCCTCCACATACTCATCTGGCAGCACCCGCGCAGCTGCATGTGGCTGGAGAAACGCCTCTTAGCGGACGGGGACTGACCTGGCTTCCTGAGAAAACCAAAGCAATCGTAAAAGAGGGGGGAAAGAAATCAAAACTGCCTCCTGCCTCAGATTAAGCTGTTCAAGCTTTCGAACAAACAGAACTTCAGATAAGTGAGGGCATTAGTTCACCCAGCCAGACACCAGTACTTCTGAAAGGTCAGCAGGTCCAGCCAGCTACAGCAGTCAGGGAGGCCACTCTGAACAGAGAAGGCCTCTGCAGTCTGACCTGCCTTTGTCAAATACTACTGTTGTGTGACCTTAGACAAGGCCTATAACTTCGCTACTGCACCAGGCTGTTTCCAGGATTAAAGGACACATCCGAGCTCAGAGGAAGCACCAGATGGATCAGAGGCCAGGTACATCTTAACATAATTACTTCGTTTGAAAAAGTCCAAAATGGCTGCCAAATTCTGGTTCAGATTGCAATGGTCACCACCTGCATTCCTGATTCCTGCTCCCCTACAGCTGAGCCTCTCCCCACCAACTTATTTTTTCTTTTCTGCCTCAGGCATAGGGAAACCAGAAGCTACCACAGGCGATGACTTGGCATGCACACGCATCCTGCTTTCTCTGTTTTCACCCAGTATGCTGGCCTATAGAGCCCTAGACCGGCAGACTCCTGCCTGCTTCTCCCACCTCCCAGCCTCCTCCAACTTCCCCCTCCCTCTCTCCTGTTCCAGCCACGCTGGCTCTTTCCCTTCAATACAACCAAGCTTGTTCTGGCCTCAAGACCTTTGTGCTCCATTACCTCCAACTGGACACTGGTGCCTGAGGTCTCTGTGGGGCTGCCGCCGCTTCATGCTTCATGTTAGAGCTCAGACGTCACCCTCCTCAGAGGGACCTCCCCTGACCACCTAAGCTAAAGCCGCCCCTGTCATCTTTCATCACTCTGTGATCTTTGCCCTGTTCATGTACTTCTTAGTGATTTACTCTTGTGGCAAGTGCTATTTGAACGTTCACTGTCTCTCCCCCCAGAATATAAGCTCCGTGAACGCAGGAACTTGGCTTGTCTGAAGCAACTGTTATCACCAGTGCCAGCACCATCCCTGACACATAGCAGGGACTCGGTCAGTTTTGCTGAATCAATGAATTCTTCTTTCAAGAGAGCTCTTTTCAAAACCCGCTGGTGCTTGTCCGAAGCAGTGAAGGTTACAACAACACCTGTTCAAAGAGACCTTTCAGGCCAAACTTCCTGAAGAATGTGGGGTTTTAGATCCCCTTATCCACCCCCAACCTCTAAGGGCCAATCCAAAGACTCCAACTCCAGCTGCTCAATGCCAATACTATCACACCAAGGCGCCATCCCCCTTGCACCCTGGCAACATTTCCTCCCCTCCAACACTTGCTTCTTTCTCCTCCTCCCTTTGGCTATCACTGAAAAACACCTTCCATCTCGGGCACCTACTCCGCCGCAACCGGACTAGAAAAGGTCCTGGAGAGGTTGCTGTTCTATCTCCAAAACGGTGGGAGCTTCCTCCCAGAGGCTAAAACGGCAACCAGGTCACCTAAGCCAACCCCCACCCTCTCAGGTCTGGCCTCCCTGGGTTTTCTTTGGCCATGGAACTTTCCGCTGCCAGGAAGAGGCTGGTCTTCCACAGCGGCTCCTCACCCCATTCCTGCCACAGGACAGGCCAGTGCCACTCCTTCTTGGTCAATATCTCCCGTCTCCTCCCTCACCCGAAGGAAACTTTCCTACCCCTCGCGCCTCCGCCCGTCCTCACGTTCTCAAGGACGCCCAAACCTCATCTCAAGGTTCAATCCCCAGGACCGTCTCCACCACACCCCCTGAACGCCACTAAGTCGCCCCCAACTTCCTCCCCCGCCCATTCTCGCGCTCAGACCATTTTATCCCCCGGACCCTCACGCCGGCCTCCAGCCTCCCCGCCATCGTTTTGTTCCCAGGACCCCCGCCCGGCCCTCACCGCGGATGCCACGTTCTCCGTCGGCCGCCGCGGCCCCCGAGAGCAGCAGCGATGCCAGCAGAGCGAGGAGCGCCCGGCACCGCCTCTGCCCACACAGCTGCGCCATGACCCGCTCCACCAGGACGCCCACGCGAGGCCTCGAGCCGCCGGCCGTTGGGGTCTCGCGAGCAGGGGCGGGAGGACCCTTGCCGCGCACGCGCACTAGAGGGCCTTGAGTTCAGGTGTGGGCCCTGCCGCAGAGTCCGCAAGGTGCCGAAGCCTCTGGAAGCGCCTTTCTCGGACCTTCGGTGTGCGGATACGCTGCCTTCCACGCGCTCAATGCTTCAGTCCGCTCGTCACTCGCCCCTTTGCCCCCCAGCGACACTCAGCGACTCTCCCCACCGTTCAGAACCCCGTCACACCGCCAAATGCTCCGAGGGCGGCGGAGCCAATGGCGGACGCCTGAAAGCAGCTACCGAAGGTGGCCGGCCAGGCAGGGGGCGGGCGCACCTGGCGAGGCGGGGCGTGTAAGGCGCAGGCGCAGAAGGCAGACACCTGAGCAGCCGCTCCCCCGCCCTCGGCGCACCTGTGCTCGCCCCTGCCGCTGGGGGAAGAGGCGGGGCTTGCGTGGGCTCCGCCCCGCACGGGACCTGGCTCGGTGAGGGGGCACCCCCGCATAGCGCCAGGGCTTCTGTCACCCTCGCCTGTGGGCTCTGTAACGTGCTCTGAGGGCCTTAGCTCCTGGGCTGGGCCTCAGGGTGGGAGGAGGGGGAAGCAAACAACGCGTTTCTTGGGAACCTGTGGTTTTCTGCCTGCCTTGCCTCCCCCGTCCTTTGAGGGTGAGGGATTTATTCCTTCCTAAATTCCGTGGCACAATGCTTCGGACCCAGCGGTGGCCACGCCATACTGGTCCCTGTGTCACTAGACAGAACAGCCCAGAGTAGTGATGGCGGAATCAGGGCAGAGCGATTAAGGCTGTGTTGGGGAAAGTCCAAGCTGAGTGATCAGGGGCTGTGATGGCGAAAGAGGAGCTCATGATGGGAGCCCAGACAGGTTCCCATCCAGCCCGAGAGAGGGCCAAGGTAGTCTTCCTGGAGGAAGTGGTAGACCCATGAAAGAACAACAAGCTCTAGGCCCTGCCTCGGGGTTCCCAGTGCAGATAAGGAGACAATTACTTCACCAGGCAGCCACAGAGTGGCATCCGATTGTGAGGGACTGTGACAGGGAAGCACAGGCAGAGAGATCAGACTTTGAGAAGAGGGAAGCTCAGAGGAAACAGCTGACCCAAGCTGGGTGGGCTTCCTGGAAGAGGGGATTTATAAGCTTACTCTCCAAAGGTGGATGGAGTGGGGCAGGCATAGGAGTAGAGGACAGCCAGCAGGATAATTAAAATAACTGCATTATTACTGAAAACACTTTAACAGTGTTATGAAGGAAATATTAATAAATTGGGGGATGGGATGGAAAATAAGATCATTTGAACGGGGTGGTGGAGGAAGGGCTCTGTGAGGAGTACCTTTGATAATGACCTCTAAAGGACGATATGGGCCAAGAGACAGCAAATGCAAAGGTCTTGAGATAACAGGGCATTCTGGGAGCCAGAGCCACTCCCACTATTCAGCCTCCCTCTTGGCATAATAACACATGAAGAGAAGTAAGTGAGTTATCAAAATGGTATTTACCTTAAACAATTAAAGTTTTATGCCAGTCATCTT